TAAACTTCTTGATTATAATATTCTTCAATATCTGATATTTTACTTAATTCATCTTTTATTTTCAAATATTCTTTTTGTAATATTTTAACTTTCTTTTTATCACAATCAGAGCTTATATGACCTATTTCTCCACAATTTCAACATTTACATTGACCTTTATTTTTCTGTTGACCATATGAGATATTTTTTTGTTTATAATATCTTCTTCTAGATTTTATATATATATTTTTATTAAAATTTCTAAAGTTTTTGAATTTTTTATTTTTAAATTTTCTTTTATTAACCCTTTTTTCATAATTACATCCCCACTGCATAGGATTTTCCATATTTTCACAACATATTCTAGTTAATTTTCTTATTTTTTCATTAATTGTCTTTGTTGACATATATATACAAGTCTTTCAAATAAAAATTTTATTCTTGAACCTAAAGTTCTAGGTATTTCAACATTGTCTCTAACATATTTTTCAAATTCTATTTTAAAATATATTCCCCACGAAACTGATAATTTATTATAATACATATCTTGGTATACTTCTTGATTTTCATTACTGTAAAATTGAACATAATAATAATTTCTAAATTCATAAGTATATTATTTAATTTTACACATATTACATATTGTTAAATTTATTAATTTAATTCTAACATTGTCTTTTTCTCTTATTTATTCTTTTTCAGCATTTCTTATCCACTTTTCTCATAAAAATTTATCTGAAATATATTCTACTAACTTTTTTATACCATGTCTATCTGATTTTATTATCTCTGTTTGTACATTTCTTTTTATTAATATTTTTGTATCATTACTTATTCCTTCCCACCAATTTCTAACATCTCCTTCAAAGGATGCTATTAAGAAATCTATTCTTCTTTCGATACTTTCCCATGTGTCGTCTTTATTATACAAAAAAGAATAATATCATTGAATCTGCCCAAGTTAATAAGGTTTTTTTAGTATCTACTTTGCAATTTAAATCTAATTTTGTTCCTTCACGGTTAACAGGTTTATCATAATTATCATTTAATTTGATTGTTAACATTGATGCCTCAGATAAATATTGGGTGAAAATATTAAAAATAGATTTAAATGAGATTTGTAGGTATTCAAGTTGAACTTTTAATCAAGCAAAAATAAATTATACTACTCATGAGAAAGAATTATTAGCAATTATTAGAGGAATAAAAAAGTTTTCATTATTCTTACTATCCAAGAAACTTACTATTGAGACTGATAATTCTCAAGTTGCAGAATTAGTCAAGAATAAACTACCATCAGAACCTCAATACAGAAGGCTCCATAGATGTCAAACTTATTTAGAATTTAATAATTTTGATATAGTCCATATTGAAGTAGTTAATAATTTTCTTGCAAGTTTTCTCAACAGAAACATAGAATTTAATGATAGATAAATTTAGGGTCATGGAATTATACCAATCTATCCTACATATACAAAAAATGACAGATTTTTTTAAAGGAGAATCTGAAAACATAAATACTGGAGCAACACAGATCTTAGAGATATTCAACTCAAATATAAAACTATTGTTAAATATCACTACTAAGTATCATAAAGAAGCCATAGAACTCACAAATCAAGTTGATGCTGTTGTAGTACAACTAAAAGATATACTGTCTTAGACAGATATACCAAAGAGTTCAGAAATGAGTTTTTCAAATCAATACCAAATAGGGACAGCTGGAAGTAGTAGTGGACCCAGACGTGACATCATACCAATTGATAAAAAAGGAGATTCAACACCAACTAAAAAAGTGGTGATACATGGAGATAAAAAAGATTCCAAAACTATCAGCATCATAGATCAGGATGATACAATCCCTTTAGATCCAAAAGAAGAAGAGTATGCTAAAATAGTTAGAATTGTTGATGAGATAAAAATAAGTTATTTATATTTCATCTCTACGAAAAATTATATTTATCCCAGAATAATAGTCATGGAAGGAAAGGACCCTTCGTTTATAAAGATTCTGACAGACTATGTATTTATGGATTTGATATATTCAGGAAAAGATTTGATTGAAATTTCGAAATTTGATGATATATTCATAAAAGAAGTAGTAAGATTTGCCAAGGGAAGAAGAATATATTTGAAATTTTATTCAATAAGTCCTGAATATGATGGAATTGTTTATTATCCAGTTGAACATATAATCTTAATTGGATATGTTGTAGCCAACTTCCAAATAGATGTGATGGAGAATGATAGAAAAGCTCCAACAGTGACAAAGTCATGGATCATACATAGAAGAGCACTTCGAATTAAAGTTATATACAATATTGCTCAAAATTTATTTGATAAAAAAATTCTCATGCTTGTGTCAATATGAAAACTGGATGCTGGTATCAAATGGAGGACATTGAAAATCAGAAATCTTAAATGACTACTTTACAAGATTCGAAATACATCAATTTTCAGGATGTCATACCACTATAAAAGAATCCTGCCAGTTAAGGGAGTGCCCCAACTGCATGTGAAGACATAAAAGATAGATGGCAATAATAGAGAAAGATACTTTTGGATAAAAATTTGAAAAAGCATGTAGAGATATAGAAAAAGGAGGACAATAATAGAAGTTCCTTTAATAAAAATCAAATGCTAGATGTGAAGATGTAAGTCCAAAGAGGACAATAATAGAAAGACAAGTGTGTATTTGCTGATGTACTGAATGATGTAATAGATCAATAATAGAGTCTAATATATTTATATAAATAGAGGCATTGTAATAGAAGGAGATCATCTTGAAATCTCGAATTGTAATCAATAGCTACTCTTAAACCATCTCCAGTTTGAAAAACCAGTTTTTCTGAAAATTCTTGTATACCAAATAGAAATATTGTATAAATTCTGATAGAAATAAAATTTCAATATTTTGATATCAATATGAATTTCTTAATTTTTATTCCCATAGATTCTTGAAGGATCTAATAGAAAGTTTCATTCTTGTTTTAGCAAAAAGAGTTTTTCTTTAATAGAAGTCTAGAATTTTATTATTTAGAGTTGATACAGTAGGAACAAGAAACTAAAATAGTAAAGATTTCGTAAAGGCATGAGGTCGTTGAAGGAAGCAGTTTACACATTCAGAGTTCAAAGGTCACTCAGTTCTAAGAATGAATATTCAGATAAAAATTAATGTAAAATTATTAAATTTTTGCTAAAATTAGAATGAATTTTTTTAGATCTTAGAGAATCAAAGGGATTAATTACATGATTTGATTATTATTTGTATTAATGTCAGGATATATAATTGAAAGATTAGATAATTTGTTAGAAAAAATGTTGGAAGAAATAAAAAATATTATTTCTCAATTAAAAAAATATGAATGTATCTTTTGAAGAATATAATATACTCAATGAAAAATATGAACAGCATGTTACAGATTATTCCAATCTACTTGATCGAAGAATGAATTTATATGCTAAAATTCAAAATAGAATAAATATAAGATAAAATAATTTTAAAAGATTGGGATATATGCTGCAATATAGAAGGAATCATTTCATTAAGGGTAACATAGATTTTTCCATGAAAATGAATAGTAATAGGCCAAATAGAAAAATCCTCCCAAATAAAATATAATTTAAGAAATTCACAATATCACTAATATTCAACGAAAAGAACATGTGATCCAATGGTATACAAATTCCTCTGTTGGTGTCCAAAACACTAATTGTCACATGAAATTTGAAAATGAGGACAAATCAGTATAATGAATTATACCTGATGAGATGATTGCTACTCCGCAATTAATCTAAAGGAGAGTGCTACATGTACAAAATTATCTACATAATGATATTCATAATTACACGTAGCATTAGATCCAATCTTTAATTCAAATCTCACACTTGCACATCAACAACTGGATAATTACCATATCACATTATGAACACCATTATGTGCAATAGTTATATACAAGTAAAATTTTTCTAATCCAAATATGCAACTATGTATATAAACTATCTTTCCAGCATCAACTGAATTTTAATAATCCATACTCATCAATGAGATAGTTTTGATAATTTTAATTTAAGTCCCTGAACTATTCAAACTTATAGTTTGCTCCATCTATTGTTAAGAATGCTTATATATGCACACTTAGCAAAATGATTTGACTTACATAATGACTATACATGGAAATCACCTCAATTTTGCTAATTAACTATATGCTATAGAACTTGCAAATTTTTGGAGTTCTATAGTATGCATATCATTCGAGATCAGTCTAGACACTATATTAATCTCTTCTCCTCATTTTATGGTGACTACTATATTGACGCTGAGCTACGAATCATCCTTGATGAGATTCTTCTTGTGCTCCATTTAGACTTTGGAACTTATGGATTGAGCATGACTCCTCCCTCACCTTTCATTGCATTACTCGAGGGTAAAAGTCCATAGTCTATTCAGGCTACTCTTAGACGTATCAAACGTCTAATTCACTTTGATTATAACATTATTTCTCAATTATATTGTGAGTTAAATCAGGTTGCCGAGTCACTTATTACGGAAGAATAGGAAGGAAACTACAAACAGGAGTATGATCCTATCGACTTATCACGATGACTTCGAGCTCTTGTGTAAATTGATAGATATGACCTTCTATATCAGAGATATTTAGGCTTTACCGTTTTTGTTCTTCATATTTGTAGAATTCATAGTACCTCTTTATTTAAGACTTTCGTTTTTTTTTTATTGTGATTGAAGGATAGGTTTACACCCCTTATTTGTTTTTGTTCTATTAGGGAAGTCTCAACTTTTTTTATCCTTTCTTGGTAGAGCATAAAAATAAAACATTGAGGTTGTGATGATTTTTTGGCCCCATTTGAAAAGGATTTTGAGAATTGATTTTTTGCTCATTAGAAGAAAAGTGGGATCCATTTGTAAGAGAAGAAGTCAAAAATTACGACTCAAATAGTAAAATAACCAAAAAAAAAAATAAAAAATCCCACCATATTTTACTTTTCATTCCGTCACTATACTTTTCAATTTCATGATTCATCGACAAGCACCGTTTACGATCGATTCCCCAAAACCTAAGGTTTCTCATTTCTAAAATTTCCTCTTTTCTTTCTCTTCTCCCTTAAATTAAATCCAAATCCCAATTACTCAATTCATATATACACAAATTCTTGTATGACTGCACTCTAATTCCATGGTAGAAGGCAGCAGTGGCGACGGTGGGAGTGGTGGACCCGAATTGGGTCACGGGTCGAAATCCACGACCTATTATGAATCATTCGGCGGCCGACTACGGTTTACAGTGGAGCTGAAACCCGGCGAAACCACAATTGTGTCGTGGAAAAAGCTTCTCAAAGACGCTGCTTCCGGTAAGATCAATGGGAGTGGCCCATTGGTCCCAGGCCCGTCCTTGGAGGCCCACAATACCGTTCCTGATCCCGCCTCGGCTCCCCCTCCGGGGGCTTCATCTTTAAAGCAATCCGGCGTAAATGGAGATAAAGATTCACAAGCACAGCCCGGTTCCAACCGTCTGAGTAACGTGATTGAAAGAATTGAGCGCATGTATGCGGTACGTCCTGAATGGATTTTATTTCAAAATCTTAATTTTGATTTTTTTAGTGGGTATAAGCGTGTATTCTGTAAAAGATTAATGCGATATAAACTGTAATTGTAAACTACAATTAATGTAGCGCAATCTGTTTTAAAATCATATTAATTAGTTTAATCCAAAGTTCCAATTTAAAACTGCTTCTGTAATTCTGTTATGTTTTTTTTTTCCCGGAATTTCTAGGGTGATGGAAGTAGTGAAGAGGAAGATGTTGTTCTAGATGATGTGCCGGATGACGATGAGTATGATACAGAGGATTCTTTTATAGATGATACGGAGCTGGTGGGTAATTTGATCAGTTAGTTATACTCGACATTTTTATTTATTCTTTTTAAACTAGTTTTGGCAATTATCTATTTATCTTTTACATTGATAGTAACTCATTTACACGATAAGTTGATAACGCGTTTACTTTTTGTGCAGGATGACTATTTCCAAGTTGATAACTCAGCAGTAAAGCATGATGGGTTTTTTGTTAATAGGGGGAAGTTGGAGCGCGTGTGAGTTTTTGAGACAGTCTTTCATGCAAAATTTTTATATATTGAATTATATTATATTGTTAATGAAATTAATTTATGTATGCACTTGCATTTCTAAATTCATCTGACTAGATGTTTTTAAGTAGAAAATCTAGTATAGTATTGCAATATGTTTATCAAGAACCTTATATATGCAACTGGTTCTGACATGTTTGCAAGTCTTTCAGTCTTTGCAATTGGAATTTGGAAACAATAATTAATTTAAATATTTTGTTTTGTATTTCAAAATTCAGTCTTCAATCAATCACAAATATATAAAACATATGCATACCCCTAGTTTATGGACATATCTGTTGGCTTCTATTTTAGGATTTGCAGATCTGCTTCTCATCCAAATCAAATTAAATAGTAGACAAGGAAAGACTGCATAAAGTTGTACAAGGCTGATAAGAGCAAGTTTTTGGTTACATGTACCACACTAATAGTGTTCTATGAAATCATCTTTGTGTTGAGATAAGAGCAAGTTTTTGGTTACTTGTACCACACTAATAGTGTTCTATGAAATCATCTTTGTGTTGAAACAATGTGCTTAATGATTTATATTCTTAGGACAGCAGTTCAGCTTCTTTTATGAAGGAGCCGTGGCTAGAGTCCTTGAATTTATAAACAAGCATATGCTGTTCTAGCTACACGATTTCGTTATTTTGTGCCTTACAACATTTTTTGGGTTTTCTCAAGAATTTTATGTGTCCGAAATCCATTCAAATCTCTATTTATTCATTTTGCAACAACGTGCTCCTCTTCGGGTTTCCCTGTTCCAGGCATATGCTGTCCTAGCTACACGATTTCATTATTTTGTGCCTTACACTTAATTAACTTCTTTGGGCTTCTCAAGGATTTATGTGTCCGAAATCCATTCAACTAGCTATTTATTCATTTTACAGTAACATGCTCCTCCAGGTTTCCCTGTTCCAAGAGAATGCATTATCACTGATTGTTTATCTGTTGAGCTTAAGGCTGTATGTTTTGGCCTTTCTGACAGCAGTGAACCTCCATCATTGCCAAACCAGCAACCAAAGAAGAGAAGACGGAAAGACCCGGCGAAGGGCCCTGTTGGCAGTGGGTACCGACCTAATCCTAGTGAACACGTGAAGATAGGGAATAAAGGTAAAAAAACAGCATCCATGATTGAAAGAAACTCAACTAGTGAGTCGCACGGAGTGCCGGTACCAAATGTACAAGGTGAAGATATGCAATTTCAGGCTCTAACAAATGCTACCGAAGTTTTATCAAAGAAGAAAACTGCAGCAGGTCCTTCGGAACTGTCAAATGGTGATAGTATCAGGCAGGAAAAGGATATTGACCAGCAGAGGACTGGAGTTGACTCATCAAAGAACCATGGTAACAAATCAAAAGAGGGTTATGAACTTTTAGATACTTCAGCTCAGAGGTCAAATGATAAGAGTTTCAAAACTCAATCTGGAATGCCGGTAAAGAGCAGTGATGAGGTAAGTCAATCCATTCAAAGGAAAGAAAAAGGCGAAGTTCTTGAAAGACCTGACCTTAATGTTCCTGCAAGTGGGAGTTCCTTTCAAACTGTGGTGAGTAGTTATTGTGCCGAGCAATGTTTTCTTGTGAAGCAAAATCAAGTAATTTTAACTCTGCTGCATCCTTGCACTGTCTAGCACTTTGTTAATGATCCATAATATATATCAAAGCATTTATTGTGATTCGCAATTTATGTTAATCTTGTGCATGTTATCAGTGGAAGGCTTGCTTCTGGGAAAAGTACGAAGTTTTCAAGTAGATAACTTTTTTGACTCTTTCTCACGGTCCCCTATGTCATGTTCTGTAGACTGCTCCAGTCTCGCAGAGGAAGGAAGGATCTAGTGTTAGACCAAAAAGTACCATGCTGGACAAGGCCATCAGGGAGTTGGAGAAAAAAGTTGCTGAATGTATTTGATTATTACTCTTACTCTTACTGTTGTAATTTTCATTCCTGATATAATGTGAGTTTCATAGTATTTAATTCTTTTTTCTTTTGTTTGAAAACAACAGCTAGACCACCATCTTTGGAAGTTCAGGATGGTAATAATCCATCTCAGGCAGTAAAGAGGAGATTAACGCCTGAAATAAAACAGAAGCTGGCTAAAGTTGCTAGATTAGCGGTACTGGCGAGTGATTAATAGTCTTATTTGCTCATCTTTGTCACTATGTTTAATAAATGGGTTTGTGCCCTTGTATTTATGCTTTACTTCTGGAGAAGTTAAATCTATTTTGGCTGGCTGCAGCAGGCAAGCCATGGAAAAATATCAAAGGACGTGACTAACCATCTAATGAGTATTGTTGGACACTTGATGCAACTTAGGACGTTGAAGGTATCTTTCTTCTTTTAAACGAAGAATCAACATATGAATGATTACTTTGTTTTGTTCTGTGTGCTCTCTGCTGCCCCTGCATTCCTTTCTTGGGTCTCTGTTTGAATATGTATGATGTGTCCTGCATTTCAATTGTCAGTGTGTTCATACGTCTCTTTGAGGGAACAATTTTCCTCCTAGTAATATTCGGTTCATGTTTGGGAAGAGAAGCAAACCAGTTTTAATGGTTTACAACAGTGTGGCTGATGCACGGTCTAGTTTGGTAAAGCCATACGAGAGGAAAATATGGTCTATGCATGTTTAAAATTCTTCTGGAACATGGCCACTTACAAACCTGCTGGGAGCTGTTCTGAAAATATATGAACTTATCAATTTCATGCATAGAACCCATTAAAGTGTAGTTATATTTGAATCGCTTTATTTTCTTGATAAGTTTCCCATGTTGCTCTTGAAGTCAACAAGTCAGACATTTGATCAGTCAACTTTCAGTCTTTATCAAAAGAAGATAAATAGCATCCGTAGTAAATCTTGGTTAAAAAAATCATATTTGCATCATATTGCCTGTTCAATTGGGTCTCAATTGGCCCAATAGTTGAAGCTTTCAAATTATGTCCTTAAAAGTCCTTTTTGATCTGTGATCCATTATGTATACATTTATTTGTAGATGTGTCAAAATCGGCAGGCAAGTTCTGGTATGGCTCTGGGCAGTGCAGAACTTACCTGCCTATGGTCCAGGCTTGAGCTGGACCCTGATATTTTGGTATTATCGCCACAAAGAAGAGCTTTCGGATTTTTTTTTTATTCTTTCGTACATTCAGATAAGATTGAATCAGAGATTAAGAAGTTTCAAAGTTTCTATTACATATCCGTTGCAACTAGTATTTGGTTGGTAGAGCACCTCGTTTACACGCGCGCCAATGTTTTTCAGGGGGTCCATCATACAATAAAAAAAATGCATCTTATTGAGAAGAAAAATTACCAACTTGACCCTTAGCCCAAGTATTATATTTGGTTATTTACTAAAATCGCCCTTTGAAGGGAAGGATGGATTGTTAGTGTGGACGATTTAGAAGATATAATCGGAGGACATGTATGGTTAGGTTCCATTTGTAAAATGTTAATGGGGACGGGACCAGTGGCCTATCCTAATCCATGCCGGTCTGGTCCAGTTAGTCTCGAACCAGTAAATTTTTTCTTTTTTAAAAATTTAGGGAACTGTACACTGTTTGGTATAGACCGAGTTTGGCATGACCTTGGAGATCCAAATCTTTTATTATATTGAATTAGGAAAATACTGTAAGTAATCATAACATAAGAACTTTGATTAAGTTAAAAATGGGAATAAATCATCAAGTTGCCAGGGAAGGAAAGGGGTATAGACGTGTCACTATTGGGTTGTTTCAGTTTGACAGCGGCCAAGTCTAGTTGACGGTTTCTCAATTAGAGTAATTCATAAAGCCGAAACTTCCCAGGAGTCATAATGAAGTCTTACTGCCCCGTGATTGGATTGTGAGCTTGTACTTTTTGTGATTTATAGATATTTTTCATTAATGAGATCTAGATAATGTACTTCTGTCAATCCTGTTTTCCTTAAGTTTGCAAGATCGTGGTCAGTAGAAATCCTAACTTAGATAAGGGGACTCTAATTAGTCTCTTTTGCCTTGGCATCATTACTAGAGAGATAAAAGAAAAATGAAGAACATTAATTTATTAAAAGATCAAGGTTTGTGTTTTGATTTTAGGGTATGTTTGAATTTCAGAGACCATCCAAGAAATTTGGACAAACCTATATACTGTTTCACTCACAATTTTGCCAACTGAAATTAACATGGTCTTTCCTGTGATCAATCTAGCCCCTAAAGAAGCATGGAAACATCATGACACGACATGACACAGTCAACACTTGATTTTTCAAAAATGTAAGGACACAAAGATGGGACACGGCTGTTAAATTCCTTAAAATTATTCAGTTATGTGTTACACACACACACACACACACACACACACAATAGTTTCCTGCTTTGATTTTTGTTGATGAAATTTTGAATTAGATAATAAGATAAATGTTGTATTAGGATAAGTTGGGGTTAAATTACACACACACACACACACACACACACACACACACACACACACACTCTCTCTCTCTCTCTCAATAGTTTGTTGATGAAAATTTTGAATTAGATTATAAGATATATGTTGTATTAGGATAAGTCTGGGTTAAATTTTTTATTACTAGTGTTAGAGAAAGAAAAATGTGAATATCAAATATTTAACAAATATGACATGAACTTCTTAGGACTATGGTCACATTATTTTGACTTTTTCTACGCAAATGGCTTAATAATTGAATATTTTCCTAATTTTACTATCTGAAATGAGTCAAATGACGTAGAATGGACATGAACATAGTGGTGGAAAATTATGCTTCTTGGAAAAACAGGTTACGATAAGACCCTGTAAAACACATATAGGTATGGGGAGAAGGACCTTTCTGTGTTGGATACATATTATTAAAGTTGGCCAAATACATTTCTAAGTGCCTGTTTTGGTAGGGATTCTTTAAAAACTCATTTTTTGCCTAACTCATTTTCGACTACACATTGTTCCAATAAAATAACTTTGCAGTGAACCCATAACTTTTCCCTGCTTCTTAATCACACATTTTCCAAAAAATATATTCTCAAAAAATCTAGATCAATTAGGCTGTACATGGATGGAGAAACCTAATATCAGCTAGAAGGATCATTTCAATATTAGCAAAGAAAATGGTTATCGGTATTTATTGCCTATTGCCTCAAGTCCCATGTTTGGTGTGCACCTTAGGGCTTCGAGGAATCTACCGTGTCTATATTCGTTTCCTATGTGAATAAGATACCCGCCATATGGAGTAACTAAAAACTTAATTATGAGTCCTGCACCTAAGTTATCAAAAGGAGTTACAATTATTATCCAGGAAGTTACCCATAGAATTGTCACGTGGTGTCATAGCCTTAAACTTTGACCATAATTTCTTCTGTTTCCCCCTAAAATATATTAAGAATATACTTCTTCAGCAGTTTAGGGAAAATCACACTTGATTGTACACTAGCAATGATATTCAACGCTGGGAGGCTCATTACTTCAATTGAGATAATGCAAAATCATTTCATCTTTTTAGTTTCGATTCACTCGTGGGATCCGGGCGGTCCCGGGGGATATTCAACGCTGGGAGGCTCATTACTTCAATTGAGATAATGCAAAATCATTTCATCTTTTTAGTTTCGATTCACTCGTGGGATCCGGGCGGTCCCGGGGGATATTCAACGCTGGGAGGCTCATTACTTCAATTGAGATAATGCAAAATCATTTCATCTTTTTAGTTTCGATTCACTCGTGGGATCCGGGCGGTCCCGCGGGGGGGGGGGGACCACCACGGCTCCAACTTTTTATTCATCTTCTTAGTAGTCATCTTATATTAAATAGTAAGTTTTACATTCCTAAATGCTCACTCACACAATAGAAAGATGCTACAACTATATGGCGTTAGGTTAGTATCCATTTTTCTAAATGGAACGTGCTTTTTTCTTCTCTATTTGGTTGGGGGTGGGTGGAGGATGGGGTGAAATTTGATTATAGAGGAATCTCTCTTTGACTTTTGTACTTGTAATGCTGATTAATCTAGAGTGCTTTTTTTGGTACAGAGAAATCTAAAAATCATGGCTATTATGGGATTATCAGCTAAGCAGGAGAAAGATGATCAAGTGCAGCATATAAAACAGGAAGTTGCAGAGATGGTTAAGGTGCGACTTCCACTGGTGAAGCCCAAGGTATGATTTTTCTAGGGTATCGTGTACCCAAAACCTTTTTAAATGTTTTTATGTGATGTTATATAATTTGGGCTAGCTATAGGGAAAAACAACTTTTAGGGTCCATTTGATTGCAAGAATGATATTTTGGTGGAAAGAAAACGAATTCCAGAAAATTGAATTGCCTAGATTTTTTTTACTGGGAATTGTCAATTAAATGTGTTTGATTTTGAAATTTTGAATATTTTGGTGTTCATTTGACTTTGTTTTCCATGAAAATTATCAATTGAAGGGATAGAATTTGTTTCCAATGCCCAAAAAAAAAAAAAAAAAAAAAAAGAGGGGAGCTGGGAAACCCAATTCCCGCCAAAACCGAAGGAAAATCAGTTCCTTAGAAAGCTGGAAAATGTGGTCACATGGGGGTTGGGTGGAAAACCAATTCCATGAAAAATTTTGCCCATCATACATACCATTTGGGTAGAAAATGGGGCCTATAAAATAGGCCCTTAGTGTGGAGAAGCAATTTGCTTTGTAGTAAATCCATGTTTTTGAAATGATTGTTTCACCATGACCCACTTTGGAAGCTTGTTGGCCTTGTACACAATTGGCCATTGCTTTTGGTTTTATTTTAATATCTAAAGTCAGAGATTTTATCCAGGTAATGGAGCAACAAACTGCATCTTCAGATGATTTTCAAGAAGCTGGTCCAGAAGAGAAAGAGTCCTTGAAAAGTAAATATCGCATCGATAGTGCACTGGAAGATAAAATTTGTGACCTATATGACCTCCATGTTGAAGTAATAGATCAAGCTTCCCTTATTCTAGTCAAATTCCTCTTAATGGAACTTAAACTAGAATATCTAACTTGATCTCTCTTTTTCGTTCAGAGGTTCGAGGAAGATCCAGGTCCACAAGTCAGGAGGTTGTATGAAGAGGTAGTTGGCATGTGACTGATCTAGTTATTTTGATTGAAATAGGTCTATTTTTATTTAACGTTAGTATTTAGCATGGCTTTTTTCACAGAATATCCTTTATGGTTAGATAATAAAACTCTTACATTAAGCGGAAAAAGATGCATTATATGTACGTGTGAGAATTGAAGATTTCTAGTATTGCAATTTTCCATATGTTCCTTCTCATTTAAAAAGCTTCTTAATTGCAAGTAACTGAAGTGCATGAACCAACACTTGTGTTTGGCCCATATGTGAGGATCCTGGCTTAGTGTTGATGGGATTGCTACTTGCTCGAATGTTTTTCTGTGTTTTAGGAAAAATTCACCTCTCAGTAACCAATTTTTGCATTACATCTGGGTCGTTGCTAGATTAATGATCTATTAGATTGTCCTGGGTTTGGCTTATCTCCTTCAATTGTTTGGCGAATTTATAGCTGCTGTGACCACCAAATATTGTTCTTTCTACTCGCAACTATTTTTCTAACTTTTGTTGTCTGTCCTTTTCATATGCAGCTTGCGGCAATGTGGCCTAGTGGGATCATGGATATCCATTTCATTAAACGTGCTATATGTAGAGCAAAAGGTAGGAGAAAGGCATTAAGCAGCCAACAAAAGGTATGGATATCATCTTTATTTACTATGATTTTCATGTTTGCATTGTCAGGCATATCAAATTTGAAAGCTTTCACTTCTTCTATATGTATTTAGGATCGTAATTATATGCATGCTTATGTTGGAGACGCCTATATTTATTGTATATGAGGATCTACTACCCCTTTCTAATAATGAAATTCATAATTCCATAGAAAAATACTGATACCATGGTTTGACCGTCTCTTTCTGCTTTATCATTTCTCTGTTTAGTGTTTGGTGGGGCTATAGCAACTATAGTGCTATTTCTTTTTGGGTATCTTAGATACATCAAATGACATTAATTGCTGTGAGCGTTTGAGCATCTTTTATCAATATCATTTCTCCTTATACTTCAACTTTTTTGGCTTAGATGTTAAACCATGTGCACATATGTATACTTGCACAATCAACTTGAACTTGCATAGAAAACACGTATGGCAGAAAGTGGTTATCTCGCATTAAATGTTTATCATCGTTTCGTGGCTTTTGTTATTGAAAATTACACATCGTGGGACCCTTATCCAGGAAAATATTATTACTTTTGCAAGCTAGATTTATTAATCCAATTTTTACACGAGCAGAAGTAATTCACCTTCATACATGGGAGTTCAATTATAAGGCTTGCATTATTAGGAACAATCATAAATGCATGCCATCCTGGATAGATGGCACGACTTGGGAATTTAGACATTAAATACGGGGAAGACACTGTGGGACTTCCATTTCTACTAAAAATTGAGATCTGTTGTACTTACGTCTTAACATCGATAACATTATTATGGATCATTATTGTGTCCTGCGATTTATTACTACTAAAATATCTAGCTAATGGGTGCTGGAAATTGTAATATATGGTATTTGAAACGGCTTTTGTGCCATACAAAATAATAATTCTTACGCTCTGGGAGTTCCATTTCCACTAAAAATTGAGATCTGTTGTAATTACGTCTAACATCGATAACATTATTATGGATCATTGTGTCCTACGATTTATTACTACTAAAATATCTAGCCAACTAGAGTTGGGCTAATGGGTGCTGGAAATTGTAATATATGTTATTTGAAACTGCTTTTATGCCTTGCAAAATAATAATTCTTACATGTTATGTTCAGGACGGGGCAGGCATTCTTTTTTTCCTTTTTTTTTTTCACACCACTGATTCGATCTTCCACCAGACAATATCTGATTCATCTGTTGTTTATAATGTTGCATGCATTAATTGTATGTTAATACGCTGCACTGGCAGAACATGGCAGTATAATGAATAAGATTTTAGCTTTTTTCTTCATCAGTACTGTCCAATTTTACTGAATCCTCACAACCAAATATGCTGTAATGGTTTTTGCTTGATCTTTGAACAATAATTTAAGCCCACTTGTGCTTAGGAGCAAGAGAAAATGAAGAAGAGGAAGAAGCTGCTGGCACCCAAAGCTGACGAGCCTGTTCGAGGAGAAGCTAGTAACATTTCTCAGCCACCTCATGTGCAAGAGACATTGGTGCCAAATTCTCGTGATTACAGTTCAAGTTTGATCAACAAGCCAGTTCCCAGTGCTGCAGTAGCTAACGCCCCTGTTTGCATGCCTGCTACCTTTGCAAATGGTCCTAACTTGGACAAGTTAAAACTGGAGAAAACCAAAGGACAGCCAAACAATCCCATTGATGTGAGGATGACCGATGTGTTATCAAAAAAGAAACTTAAGAGGAAACAAGAAACGGCTCTTGTGGAAGGGTTCCGCCCTGAGAAATCTGCTTCCGCACAGGTGGAGGAACGCCACAAACACCATAAACAGGTAGCTGCCGCTATTCCTGCTAAGTTGGGTTTTCAGCCAGCTGCCCCTCCAAGTGTGCAGCCAAGCTGATATGATGGCTCGATTTGGATGTTCCCTTCTGAATTTACTTTATGTTACTGATATCTTTGTTTCGACTTCCGTTTTAGGAGCTTCATTCATTGTGATGAATAGCTTGTGTAATGGTTTTGCAAATATTGTCAATTAGTCGTATAATTCACAATGGATGAGTCTCCTCTTCTCTCTCTCTCTCTCTCTCCTTTTTTTTTTTTTAAAGAGTAGTTAGTGAAAGAGCTCTTAATGTACTACATTGAATCTTCTTAGTGCGAGTTCGAGTTATCATTATTGATTAGCAGTTTAATTGAGTTAAATGCACCCGTGATCGCTAAATTTCTAGCGAAATTTTATGTTGGCCACTGAACTTTATTTTGTTTAAGTTCATCGTTATACATTACCCTATTTGAGCCGTATTTTTTGGGGGGAAATAGATATTTGAATAGTGACTTCAAGGAAAATGTGGTTAAAAAATAGAGAAAAGTTTAAGGTTTACGAGTAAATTTATTTTATGGAAGAATGTGGTTGAAAATGAGTTTTGAAAAAAATATGTTTATTATTTTGTTTTAAGGAAAAAGATGATGTGATCTAATAACTTGCCAACAAAGCTACTAGGTTAGCTTTGCTGTGTCGAACGGATCTGAATGGAGGGATCAAATTGTAATGAACCTGTGAGTTAAGTGATCAGCTGAGAAGGATAAAAGAGAGGTTCCGGAACGTTGAGTAGGGCGAAAGGTTAGAAGTGAACATTGGTCTACGGTATAATAATGACTATCAACTATTTCATTTTAGAGAAAGTTTTACAAGGACATGCTATAGAGTAATTCATTACCTTATGGGTGAAATTGCGACAATATGGGCATTTTTCTTATCGAGAACTATTGCAGTAGGATAATGGTTAGTAGGATTTGAAAAGTCACTTTTGATTGATGAAAAAATTTGATCCTCTTTTCTCAAGAGCAACTTACAAAAATATCTATAAAATTAGGCGTCCTTTGAAAAAATCATATGAAAAATGTTTTGAAAGTAAAAAATACTTTATATAAGTTAAGTGTCACTCTTTTGTTAAAGTGAAATACAATGTCACTTTTTTATTTAAAAAAAATTGTTACTCAAAAAAGTGACACACACTCAAAAAGTGACAACACCAATCACGAAAGTTATAGATTTTTTTATTTTTATTATAAAAAAAGTAATAAACAATAAAAGAAGTGGCAAAATTTTTGAAAAATCGACAGTAAGACTTAATAAACACTAAAAAAGTGACAAAACACCAATCAAAATTTATGTTTGTCACTCAAAAAAGTGACAAAAAATTAAAGGAAAAAACTAACAAACAAAAAAAAAATGACAAATTTTGAAAAAATGACAAAATAATAAAAGAGTGACAAACACTATTCAAAAAAGTGATAAATTTTTTTAAAAAATGACAAACATCCATCAGAACATTAGAATAGATCCAGGCACAATTATTAGACCTGACCTTTGAACAATCCAGAAAAATCATCGGGTCAACAAGTCAATGTTTCAACCGGTGGGTCGATGGTTCAGAGTGTGCAGCCAAGCTGATATGATGGCTCGATTTGGATGTTCCCTTCTGAATTTACTTTATGTTACTGATATCTTTGTTTCGACTTCCGTTTTAGGAGCTTCATTCATTGTGATGAATAGCTTGTGTAATGGGTTTGCAAATATTGTCAATTAGTCGTATGATTCACAATGGATGAGTCTCCTCTTCTCTCTCTCTCTTTTTTTTTTAAAGAGTAGTTAGTGAGAGCTCTTAATGTACTACATTGAATGTTCTTAGTGCGAGTTCGAGTTATCATTATTGATTAGCAGTTTAATTGAGTTAAATGCACCCGCGATCGCTAAATTTCTAGCGAAATTTTATGTTGGCCACTGAACTTTATTTTGTTTAAGTTCGTCGTTATACATTACCCTATTTGAGCCGTATTTTTTGGGGGGAAATAGATTTTCGAATAGTGGCTTCAAGGAAAATGTGGTTAAAAAACAGAGAAGTTTTGAGGTTTACGAGTAAATTTATTTATGGAAGAATGTGGTTGAAAATGAGTTTTGAAAAAAATATGTTTATTATTTTGTTTTAAGGAAAAAGATGATGTGATCTAATAACTTGCCAACAAAGCTACTAGGTTAGCTTTGCTGTGTCGAACGGATCTGAATGGAGGGATCAAATTGTAATGAACCTGTGAGTTAAGTGATCAGCTGAGAAGGATAAAAGAGAGGTTCCGGAACGTTGAGTAGGGCGAAAGGTTAGAAGTGAACATTGGTCTACGGTATAATAATGACTATCAACTATTTCATTTTAGAGAAAGTTTTACAAGGACATGCTATAGAGTAATTCATTACCTTATGGGTGAAATTGCGACAATATGGGCATTTTTCTTATCGAGAACTATTGCAGTAGGATAATGGTTAGTAGGATTTGAAAAGTCACTTTTGATTGATGAAAAAATTTGATCCTCTTTTCTCAAGAGCAACTTACAAAAATATCTATAAAATTAGGCGTCCTTTGAAAAAATCATATGAAAAATGTTTTGAAAGTAAAAAATACTTTATATAAGTTAAGTGTCACTCTTTTGTTAAAGTGAAATACAATGTCACTTTTTTATTTAAAAAAAATTGTTACTCAAAAAAGTGACACACTCAAAAAGTGACAACACCAATCACGAAAGTTATAGATTTTTTTATTTTTATTATAAAAAAAGTAATAAACAATAAAAGAAGTGGCAAAATTTTTGAAAAATCGACAGTAAGACTTAATAAACACTAAAAAAGTGACAAAACACCAATCAAAATTTATGTTTGTCACTCAAAAAAGTGACAAAAAATTAAAGGAAAAAACTAACAAACATAAAAAAAAAATGACAAATTTTGAAAAAATGACAAAATAATAAAAGAGTGACAAACACTATTCAAAAAAGTGATAAATTTTTTTAAAAAATGACAAACATCCATCAGAACATTAGAATAGATCCAGGCACAATTATTAGACCTGACCTTTGAACAATCCAGAAAAATCATCGGGTCAACAAGTCAATGTTTCAACCGGTGGGTCGATGGTTCAACTTGTTGATTATTGTTAGACATTAATTTTAATTATATTATATTTTTGAAATAACAAAGGAAACCATTTTCTGAAATCTAATGTATATATTTTTCTCACGTCAAATGACTAAGGACTATTAGTTGCCATAGTGGTCATGGAGGTAAAATATCACCTTTGTTGCACGGTTCGAATCAAAGCTCTAGCAAATTTAAAGGAAAATTTTACTTCAATATAGTAACCATCTGGTTCCACTTAAAATTGTCTGATTCAGGCGGTTGGTTAGAGGTTTAACAGATATTTGACCGGTTCATATGCTTACTCGATCAATTAAATCACTTGAATCAGACCAAAATCTGGTTTGACGATTCCTGATCCGAATCGATCGATGCAATATTATACTTTACTTGCATTATCTACACATAAAACATAACTTAATTTTAAGAACACAACAACCTACAAGTTGGAAGCGATGAAAAAAAAAAAAGTGATAGAAATTAAAAAGACAGACAAATTCACATTTGGTTAAATTGAAAAGGTTTAATGTTACATAGAGATATGGTACTCGAACCCTTTGGAAAATGTCAAGATTGAATGAAGAAATTGCCTTCATTCCACAACATGAACAGGATATGGTAAAGAAGAAGGATGGGTTTGGCCTATAGACCAAAAGAATATATTTGAGGGAAAAATTCATAATTCAAGTAGATAGTTTAAAAGTTCAATATTCATGTATATATTTAATTACTTAAAAAAATTTATTAAATAAATATAATAAAGTCACAATTATATGATTAATAGTTATAGATTCATAATTATAGGTCATGAATTTATTTACTGGTCGTATATCATCAAAATTAATTTGTCACAAATTATTTCATGGTCACAAATCAAAAATTTTGTAGGTCACAAATTATTCAAATTTCTAGTCACAGTTTATCTACAGATCACATATTTTCACATTTATTGGTTACAAATTATTTTTTTTATCACAAATTATTCAATTTTAAAGATCACAGACCAAATCATTGGTCATACACACCAAAAACTCTAACATGGATCTAATTCACCACCAATACTTGGTCACAGAGCAACCAAATAGTTGGTCACAATCACTATTACACCTCGCCCTGCCCCACCACAACACCACTACAACCACAGTCAACAACAACAAAAACGATCACCAAAACACGACGAACGACTGCATCACACCACCACACGAGTTGTCTAATGACTTCTATGCACTAAATCAAATAATCAATATTACTTTCCCCACAAAAGAAGGCCAGAAGGTATTAGGCAACCATGGCACATGCTGCCATATGTATCACTATAAATACACTATGCCCCTACTTGATACTGCCCTTTTCAATGACGAAAAGGAAAAACTAGCACTGAAGATACTTTTATGACCCCTCTCTCTCTCTCTCTTTGTGCCTTCATTTTGTTTTGATAGTTTTGAGAAAATTTGGAAACAAAACCCTTTAATCCATACTCAAAAAACACACAAAGAAAGTGAGAATGTGAGAGAATGATTAACGAAAAGATGGTAGAGGAAGGCCAAACACGTAGCACACCACGCCATACTGTCGCGACGCTACCTCCACCTTTTGCTTAAGAGCTTCACCGTCACTGTCGTGAATCACCGTCGCCATGGTGTTTTATGGTAGAGAGAAGGGATAGAATATAGATGGTAGAAAGAGAAAGGAATTAGAGTTGAAATTGAATTTGGGTAAAATATTTAATATTTAAATTATTAAATCAATACCTAAATTCTGAATAATGAAACTTCGACCTTGATTTTTGAATTGTGATGTTTAAAGCCCTGATATTCTTAATTTCCACTAGATTTGAACCTATATACTTGTTAAACTAAGCCTATATAGTGAGGCCCATAATAAGGCCCATGTGTGATTTTTTTTTTCTCATTAAATAAAGCCAATAGCAGCTCATTTTAATAAAGAATTTTGGCTCAAGAGGTAAGCCCTAATTCTTCACACTTTTTCTCTAATATTATTATATTTTCCTTTGAACATTTACAACCTTTTATAAGGTTACTTAAGGAGGAATGGTCTCTATAACACCCCTAACTAAACCAACTCGGGGAAGTGGACATGTGTCCATCCGAAGTCCGAAGTGATGCCAACTCTTGACGACCTTCAGCATGACGCGCTGCGAGGCGAAGTAGATCCACTAAAGCAATCGAAGTGTCCTTTTACTCCGAAGCGTTGAGCACTCCGGGG